TTCTATGATTTATGTATGTAATATTGAATTATTTGTTTAAAGTAAATATTTTACGACCTACATAATCTTCGAAACGCTCTCCAGAATTCATTACATGATAAATAGACAAAATCTTAAACATTTCAGGATAGTGTTATCCTAAAAATAAGGTACTTAATTGTTAAAATTTTGATCGATAGTACAATAAAAAAATCCCTCAACAAAATATTTACTGATTTCAAGTATAACATGAACTTAATATAAAAGAAAATTAAAACAAATAAAATGCAAAATGTAATAGAAATACAAAGATATATTAAAAGGTGAAAGAAATTTTTTTCATAATAGGGTAAACTATCCATTTAGTATCTAAATTATCTGTTTTGGTAATTTTTGTACTTAAACTCAAAATTTTCAAAATTATACCTAATATTTAATTTTTGTTTCATTTTAATACTCACTGTTAAAAACTTAACGCGTTTAGTACATAAACTATCAATTTTGGTCCGTTTTAGTATCTAAACTTTCAATCTTTTCAAAAATTAATGTTAAATTTTGAAAATAGTACTAAAATGAAACAAAACAAAAGTTTAGATATGATTTTGAAGAAATTAAAAGTTTAGGTATTAAAATGGACCAAAACTTATAATTTAAGTACTGAACACTAATTTAGCCTATATTTTATCTGATCGAGTAAAGCATTCAATACCCTAAATACCCTCAAAATCTCAACTTATTTTAAACCTTAAATGTGAGCTAACCAGTGATTCATTAATTGAATTCAATCAATCTCGGATTTTTTTTTATAATTAAAAATAAATCTGACAAATTAATAGATGCAGTTAATATCCAACAAATTTGCTTCTTTATATACTTTAATGGAAGGATAATTATGTCATACGGTAAGAAAATTTTTCACACAAGTTTTAATTTATTATTATATACTTTTATTTATTTATTTAAATATTAATTTAAAATCCATGATTAATATCATTTATAGAAAAATAAAACAATAAATACCATTATAACAAATATCTCGTATAAATATAACATGTTTTCGGTGGCATAAACACAATATTTTAGAGGCTGTGATAAACTTGATTTCATCATTTAAAATTCACACAAAATTCTCCTCCCAAAAGTCTACACCTTCTCCGCCTCCGAGCTTCTTTTGAGACTTCCTGTGAGGCGGTGGCCGCCTCCTTCGCGAGGCGGTGGCCGCCTCCACCATTTCCGCTTTCGCTACTTCATGCTCTCCTGTGACCGCTTCTCTCAAGATCGCAAAAGTCTAACTCAGTGACGTTGAATCCTTCGTTCCCTAATTTGCTTATTGATTGTTGGGGTGTTCTATTTTACCTTGAGGAGATCGATTCTTTCTCTTCCAGTAGTGATTTCTTCCTGTTTCTAAGTGATTGCTGGTTAGTGCTTGGAATTTGGTTTGCCTATGATATCTGTTTCAAAGTTTCTACTCTGTTTCGGGAGTCAGTTTGTTGATAGTTTTTACTGCTTGCAAGCTGTTCGTGTAAATGTCATAGTGAGCCATCCTTTGCTATTTCGAATAATCAGTTTGTGCGAGTTGTTTATGGTCTTCCATTGGCAGCTGCTGTGTTGTTTGAGGATATTCTTCTATCTCTATTCGTTGGGTAGATTTGTGGCAGATTATGGGTAGATTCGGCGAGTTTCTGTGTGTGTATTTTTATGATGAGAAGTCGAGTTGGCTATAGGGTTGGGTTCGTATATGATGTTGGTTCTGTGAGTGGTGTTCTCTAAGTTTTTAACGTCTCCAATATTGCTTGAGTTTAGTGAGAGTCTGTTAGGGGTTGTGAAAGGGTCAAGACTCTGGTCTGGAGGTTATTTCGTGGTTTTAAGAGGAGCTGGAGCAGTTTTTTATTAGTTTTAGTGTTAGGTTATTAGTAGGATGATTTTATTGTTTTTCTGTATACTTGGTTCAAGTCTTTTCGGTTCCTAGCTGTTTCCGGGAATCTTCTTTTCCCGTCTTCTGTTTGGTTGGTGGTGGCTATCCAGTGTTTGTGCTTAGGTGGGTGGTTGTATCTTTTGTGTTGGTGTCTGCTGTGTATGAACGTGTTGTGTGCTAGGAGGAAGCGAAAGTTTGTGTGTAGCTAACAGAAGGGGAGTGTTGTTTGAGGTAGTTCTGCAGGGAGATCACTGCAGTTTCGAAAGGAGCTTGAAATGTTGTGGAGGCATTGTTTTGTGTGGGTGAGGCAGTGGGCGATGTTTTCTCTGCTTCGAAAGGCGGTAAATCAAAGATCAGGTGGTGGAGCTCTCGGGTTTGCATTGGTTAAGGAAATTAGGAGGTTGTCGGAGATGGTGCTCTGACATGTTGGTAATCGCGTGCTGGTCTTCTCGTGGAAATAAGAAGTTTGTCGGGTGTTGACAAGCTCCTATTCGAGCTTCAAGTCTAAGTCTAATTTTTATTTGATTATGGTCAGCTTGTGCTTAGGGAGTAGGTGATGGTCCTTGTTCCGAAGAGGTATGGGCAGCTGCGCATGGTTCTGATTGCCAGTAGAGTGGCTCTTTTCATTAGTTGGAGGTTGTTAGAAGGTCGCTAGTGGGGTCTGAGGTGGAATGTGTGTTGCTTTCGATGATTAGTGCATGTGGGAGAGCAGCAGATCAGTGATACACCGACAGTTCGTTATGGGGTATCTGTGCTTGGTTCTGTTGGCCAGAGAAGTGGAACCTTTAATGTTGTGGAGTTGGCTAGTGGGGTTCACGTGGGCTCAGAGTTGGGATTTTGTGATGCTATAGAAGATCTGGATTTGCAGAGAAGGTGGGGTGCCGCTAATGTCGATATGGGTGTTGTGTGTGTTTTGTTGTAGTTTGGGGAATGCATTGCTGGATGTAGTGTGTGTTTTGTTGTGGTTTGGGGTTTGTATTGCTGGATGTAGTGTTTCTCTTGTGTTCGATCCTTTGTATCTCTTGGTTCACTCTTTTTCCTCTATTTAGGGTTAGGAAGGTTTTTTAACGAGTGATTTGAGATGGTGTATTTTGCATTTGTTTATAATACAAAGTATCATCTTTTCAAAAAAAAATATAACATGTTTTCGATTTAAATTGATTTAGATTCCAGTAAAATAGTTATTTAATTGATGCTTTTAATTTTAATACAAGTATTTAAATTGTTTTCCAGACAACATATTTTTTATTGTTATTTAATTTTAGTTCGATGAATCCATGTCATGAACAACTACGATATAAACAGTCAGACATTATTATTATTATTATTATTTAGGGTTCTATCCAATAGAGTCATGCATGTGCTTGAGAGATGCTATGACTCGTTGAAGTTTTAGTAGCCTACAAAGATCATATAAAATATTTACAGAACTTATTAAAATATTAAAATAATTAAAGTTGTCTATTTTTCCTTCAAATATAAACAAGGGTAAATTATGTATTTGGTCACCCAACTATCATTTAGTTTTTTTGGTCATACTACTATTCTTTCTTCAAAATCATAAATAATATTAAGTTTTGGTTCTGTTTTGATCACCATCGTTAAGAAATTAATGGTCATATGGTGTGGCATTTTTCTTTTTCTTTTTTAATACTAATATGTCACTATCTTATGATGACACGTCAACATCACCGTTAATTTTTAACAATGGATGACCAAAAGAAAACCAAAATATAATATTAGATATGATTTTTAAAGTTAATAGTTTAATAATCAAAATAGAAACTAAGTAATATATAAATGACTAAAATAATTTACCCAATAAATAATATATATATAAAAATATAATCACAAAATTATTAGTTATAAATTATAATCAAATTTAACATAATTTATTTTCTCAGTAGTTCTAATTAAAGACCCCAAAATATTAAAGTTGCCTATTTTATTGTAATTTTTTCAAGTGGCTTTTTTTTGGAATATTTGAATGACCTTATCCAAAATTTGAACTGCACTCCTAACATCTTTCATTAATTTCTTGGGTAAAGAACAAATTTAGTAACTGAACTTTACACTCTCATATTTCATTTATCATATTTTAATTTTTTCAATAATATATTGGTTTTTTTTTTCACCCACTCATTCCCCTCACTAGCGACATTAGCATGTGACTTATTTATTTTACTTTTAATAGGGAAATTACAAATGTAACCATTGAACTTTACTTTCTATCTTAATTCACTCATTATACTTTTAGTTATTTTTAGTTTAATCATTTAATTTCATGCATCAAATTTTTTTATCACTCCTTTATTAACAACAAAAAAGTCACATCATAACGGCGTTAGTGAGAAAAATGACTGAGTGGCAAAAAAAACTTAATAAATCAAATTCAATGGAAAAAAATAAAATATAGTGAATGAAATAAGAAAGAAATTAAAACCAGTTATCAAATTTATAATTCACTCTAATTTTTTTAAACAAAATCATTTCATTATCCTCAAAAATTCAAAATTAATTGATAATCAGACAATAATGAAAGTTGGTGGTATCTCTCCAAAAATATTTTCTTTATACTTTTTTCCCAATCTAAAATTACAGATTGGATAACCTTAAATCCAAATCATCCTGACCCCACTTTCCTGTCTTTCATTAATAGTCCTCCTTGTTCTTATTTTTTAACTTTGAAGCTCTCTCTCTCTCTCTCTCTCTCTCTCTCTCTCTCTCTCTCTCTCTCTCTCTCTCTCTCCAACCATCCATCTTTCAGTTAAAAAAGAACACGTCTTTTGTTCAAAATCTTCACTTTTTATTGATTTGAAAATCTGGGTAATGGCCTGTTCATTGAAGTGTGGTTCATATTTTTCTGGGTTTACAAGTTCCAAGGCTTCAACATCAAAAAAGTCCCCTCCTTTAAGCTTTGATTTTTTGGGGAAGCCACTAGTTTTCCCAGATCAAAAGAAACGCTCAAGAAACTGCAGCACCAAAAGGGAAAACAAATTCTCTGTTCGAGTATGTCAAAATTCTTGCCCTTTTCATTTGGATTTCAAAGGTTTTTATTTTTCGTTTCATCATTAGAACTGAAGTTTAAGCAATTGATTTTTCCTGGCTGAAACAGCTTGTGTGAGTCGAAGTATGAGATGGTGGGAAAAGAATCTTAAACCCAACATGGTAAAGATCCACTCTGCTGAAGAACTTGTTTGTTCTTTACAAAATGCTGGTGATCGATTGGTCATTATTGTCTTCTATTCACCTGGTTGTGGTGGCTGCAAAGCCCTCCATCCTAAGGTATATTTCGCCATTACAATATGTATGTATGTATGATGTATGTATGTATGTATGTATGTATGTATGAGCCAAACGTGAAGCTTTGGAACTAAAAAGTGTTCTTTATTTCAAGTTACTTGTTTGTAAGATTTGTTGATGTGGGCTATTGTTGAAAGGTTATTTGTAGGACCGATTTGTTTATAAATGTGAGCTTCAATGAAACCGCGAAGAACATGAAATTTTGTTGCAATTTCTTCATTTTTGAGTCACTTTGGTTGATTGTTGCCTTATTTTGTAACAGATCTGTCAACTGGCCAAACAGAATCCGGACTCGATTTTCCTCGAAGTTAACTACGATGAACTGAAGAACATGTGCCACTGTCTCAATATCCATGTCTTGCCGTTTTTTAGGTTCTATAGAGGTTCTGAAGGCCGACTCTGCAGCTTTAGCTGCACTTTTGCTACCGTAAGTTTTCGGTCGACTGGGATAATTAATTTCTTCGATAATAATGTTAACATATAGATGATGTTCGATTCGGATTGGATATGCAGATCAAGAAATTGAAAAACACATTGGCGAAGCATGGATCGAATCGATGCAGCCTCGGACCTACGAAAGGTTTGGATGAGTCAGAGCTAATGAAGTTAGCCTCAGCAGGCGAATTATCATTAAGCAGTTTACGATTACCTTCCTTGAAGGAAGAAACAATGGAGGATTTGGTGATGATGAGAAGCATGGAACTCTCTGGTTTCTTTGACAAAGCCGATATCAATCGGGCACATGTCGAAAAAGAGGGAGCTCTGCTATAGGCTTCGAGTTCGACACTTGGTCCGAGTAATATTGTTATTGGAAGTGGACAGAGCCAGTTTTTGATGTAGGAAGTTGTTTTTGTAAATAATTGTCATTAGCTGGTTTTCATCATTAGCAGGCTCCTGGGTTTTTTTTTAGTTGAACTGCAAATGCAATTGACAAGCCCGGCCCAACACATGTGCCACATGGGCGACGGCCCGGGACAACATGTTGGGGGGCAGTTTGTTGGGGGCAGTTTTTTAGGGTTTAATTTATATGTTGCACAGTTTTACTCACCTAATTCTTAAACCAGTTGATTTGATTGCAACTGCGTTTTCATGGGTTATGTTTTTTTCCGTTGATGAATGATTATTTGATTAGAGCTAAGATTGAAACGATTTTAATTCACTTTTGCACTTTTTACTTTGTTTTTATTCAGATGTTTTTTTTTGTTTGACTTTTTTAAAGATCATTACTAGTTTAGTTTGAACTGGAATAGATCATTACTAGTTTAGTTGGAACTGAAACTGGAACAGATCACAGATCACAAAATAATGATTGGATTGTATATGAACTATGGATGGAAAGATGCTCTCTTTTTTTCTTTTCGTATTGAGGTGGTTTAAGAGAACAAAATTCTCTCTTTCACTTTTCCCCTGTTTGTAATCTTATAATATTCATTTGTTGGAGAACAAAGTTTAGTTTGGTTTAAGAGAACCAATGAAAATTGGTCAATCGTTTCACATTCATTTCTCAACATGCTTGTCATTTGCTGCCACTAATAAGGACCATGGTTCAACCATTGACCATTGATGTTTGTTACTGCTACAATAAGACTGGAGAACTTTGCAAAATTTGGAATACCAAGTTTATCTTGCAAGCAAATACATTGTTAAGTTTTAGATTTGTATGTGTATCAGTTTGGCTTGATTACAAAGTTCTAAGTCTTGCTTAAGTTTGATCCTATAGTTTTAGCTTTTATTGCATCACTGGGACAATGCTTTTTTATAGTCAAATAAATGTGGCTAAATATTTTCGTTCAAGATATTTTTTAGAGTGATTACTTCTGATTATTTTGATTTCATAATTAATTTTCCAGATCAGTTGATTGTGACAAAGAACAAGTGAGAAAGAAAAAGTCAACAACATAAACTTCAGTCACCGATCAGGTTGTATCTTTCCTTATATATCTTTTTTATTGTTTATTTGCTACTATATTTGTTTTATTGATTACTTTTAAATATGTGATTTTAATTAATGATATAATAAAAGAAAATGGATTGGAAAATTTTCTATGTGCTGGGGTTGTTGAGGCCGAGCTGTACCATTATTTATTGTGTTGTTTCTTGAAGACGAGAGAAGTATAACAAGTATTAGGGTTCCAATCATTGCCCACACATTGATTATTTTTGTTAGGCTTAATATAAAAATAAAAATGTGTAAATTTTATCTCGAAAAATGTTTTAGTGTCTAAAATTTTTTCGCTAAAAATAAGTGTCTAACGTTTTCTTCATTGTATTTTTAGGTGTTTACCGTTATATTTTTATTTTTTATAAATAAAAATATTTTAAAAAAAGAAAAAAAAACTTAATTTAATTATAAAAAACCTAAAGTTTAGTAAAATTATAAATAACCCCCAAAACCTTAAAATCTATAATTTCAAACTTATTTCCAGTCATCACCGTTTATCTTCGGCCACCATCTCCGATCGACGATGGCTTACACCGCCACTAGCAGCAACTTTAGCTCCACCTCTCAAGCAAACCCCAACCATCAGATCATCGTCGTCGCTCATCGGTCGTCGCTCATCGTTCGTCACAAATCGTAGAAAAATTGTTCGAAGACATAACATCGATATCTGCCACCGTTGAATGGTGATTGTCACCGTCGGTTCCATGAGCATTACCTATAACACCCTAATCCAATTCAACCCGAAAATCATTGAATTATGATGTCACACAAAACCGCATAAGTGGCTAACCATTTTTTGAAAACGTTTCATCAAATAATATCCATAAAATCTGAATACCATATAAATACAAACCTTAAGTATTTGAAATACGGGGGAGCTCTCGACTAAGTCTCTAAAATATATTAGAAATCAAAATACAAAGTTTACGACTCAAATACAAATAAAGGTCTATGACAGTACATGCCCACTAAAATACTCGAGACATACTCTAAAAGCGATCAAGTTTGGAAAGCTCTGACGTACTCCTCAATCCGACACCTAAGGACCTACGCACGGAAACACATTTTATACATTGAGCTCACAAGCTCAGTGCCATATAAATAACAATGATATAATACATGCATCCAACATATAAGCATGATACAGTATAGTCAAGAGCAAACAATAAGTATCATGGTGTAGTTCGGGGTCACTTAGCATCACGAAACTCACACCCCTCTTTACTTACAACAACACTTAAGGAATATCTAAGTCATATAGCATCAGTGTCTCATTAACACTTGGTTCAAATTCGAGTCACGAACCATTAGCACTTGCCCGGCTAGTCTACTCCTCTACATTACCCGGGACATGTCCGGGTCACATATCATCGACACAATATCCAACTAGCATTTTAAGTGCTTAAGCACTATATTGGATATATCCAGATAATCCTTACCCATTCAACTAGTGTCATTAAGTAACTTGGGTGTCCTCGTCTTTTCCCGAGCATCAAACAAAGGTATAAGTCTTATGGAATCTTACCTCATTAAGACTTTACGTTATCACACAATTATTCGGGTTTCACTTGTATTCTTATAGAATATTATACCCTTTTAAAGAGCCCCTCGAATTCTCTCTCTCGAATCCCCCACCAAAATTGTCTAAGGTTACACATGGGTATCGATACTCCCTCGGGTATCGATACTACCCCATTGGTATTAGTACTCCCTTGAGTATCGGTACCAAAATAGCATACTAGAATCGATTTGAAACCCTGAGTATCGATACTAATCCCTATGGTATCGATACCCTCTCATAATTATTCAAATTTTCAGCATGCCACGAAGAATAATATTGGTACTTTCCTTACAGTATCGATACCCTTAACCCAAAACATGTGTTTTCACTCATGAAAACACTCCTAAGGTACCCCAAACATCTTCATTTAGTGTTTAAGGTTTATTTAGTATGCAAGGAATATGAAAGGTCGTCACTTTAAGCTTTAACAACAACAAATCCCGTTTTTCATGCTCCCACCCAAGTGCATACAAAGGCTCAACCACACAACATGCATCGAAACTCTATATTTTGAGCTACAAGCAGTAGAGAAAAGTTAAAAGTGTGTTACCTTTCACCTAAGAGCTACAAAAATGACCTCAAGCTCAACCAAGAGTCTCATTTCCTTTGCCTTGGCCCTTAGAGCTTTCACCCACTTCCCTCACTAGAACAAGCAAATATAAGGGAGTTATTAACTCTCTGAAAAGCTTAAAACGTTAGAAGTAATGTTTCTAAGGTTTAGAAATGGTCTAGAGTTCTTCCTAAGCTCTAGAACATAAACATTCCTTAAACCCAACCTTGGCCACCATGTCCAAACCTCAAGGTTAAGATCTCATTTTAAAGCTCTAGATAAGGTGATTACCAAACTTATCTTCTTAATTTTGGACTAAGAGTGTAACCTAACAAAGTTTCCACCTTCAAATTTCTTGTTGGCAAAGAAGAGAAGAAGAAGACAAGGGAAAAATGGTGAAGAAAAGAGAATGGAAGATTTCTTCCTATTTGGTGCTTATTTATTTGTCGTGACCTCACTAATTAATTAAGAGGATTCAACCTTTTGAATAAGCTAGGGGAAAACAACACTCCTAGTCTTTCTCCTTTGGTTTACACTTTAAAAATGCCCCTTTTAAGCCTTGTTGGGCTCAAGCCCAAACCAAAATAACTAGGCGTTGACCCAAAATTAACCTATTTAAATCTATTCGGGCTTCACCTGAAACTACTAACCCTAGAATTAGGGCGTTACATCTTCATCCATATTCGATCTAAACCCAATATCCCTCCGATCATAAATCGTTGTCATTTGTTGTAGGGAAGCATTCGAAAGTTTCGACAGAAAACCAAAGCACTGTCCTACTATTTTGCTTGATTTCGACCATCGTTGGCGACCATACGTTCTGTAACACCCCAATTTAGGAGTAAATTATAAGTTTTTGAAACTATTAATCAGTTTTAGAAAATTGTTGGAATTAGAGGACCAAACTCATAATTTACCCATTTTTCTTTAAGTAAGAATTATAAACCCCTCCCCCATTTATTTTCCCAGAATACTTCCCCATTTTCTCTCCCCGTCAACTCCTTTGAGCTCCAATTTCTCCACCGTCCGGCCACCATTCGTCGATCCAAAACCACCATCGTGTTCGTTGTCAATCGATGAATAAAACCCTCAAACTTGTCATCGTGAATCATTGTCGTTCGCCGTAAAATTCAACTCAAAGTTTTGAAGTTTTTAAACTCCACCGCCATGAAAATCGTCGATTCGTCATCGATCGTTGCTCCGTTTTTGACACCTCCCGCACCATCGTGTTCCTTGCATCATTTCGAGTCCACCGATTTATTTCTTGTCTCCTCCATTGCCGACGCATTAGTGAGTGAGGAAGCTAAAGTTTTTAACGTTTTAAAATCGAGCTCTCCGCCGTTCAAAATTGTAAACCGAGCTTGGTAAGTATCTCAAAATCCCTTAAAATAATTTTAGAAACTTTTGTGGGCTTTTTCTGACCCTCTACGTCCCTGCACACGCCCCTATGCCCCACCCCTGAGAGTTAATGCTTGGTGGACTGTTTGAATTAGGCCTGTCCAACCTGCTTAACCCGACTGAGTCAATCCGCACTGAGTTAACTCGACTGAGTCAACTCACTAGGTCAACTCGTTGACTTTGACCGAGTCAACTTGTTGATCGTTGACTTTGACCGAGTTAACCCATTGATTGTTGACTTTGACCAAAAATTCAAAATTTTTGAAAAGTCGTATTTTATGTTTTTCGACGTCATGAGTCTGATTCTGAAGTCTGTTTCGCCAAATTTGAACCCGATAAGCTATTTTTCACTAATTTACCAACCAATTCGATCTGTTTTTCTGAATTAAGCTATGTTTCTGATGAAATTT